ACAATGCACTAAATCTCTCGAAAATCTGAAATTAATATCATGGTAAGTACATATGCACAAATACAAAGGAAGTTGATATGGGATTCGTAGAAAATTAATCCCATAATACGGCATGCCTAAACACATCATTCTAGGCTGAAATTTAGTTTATCTCACATAATTATATTCATAAAAAATGTAAATTAATGTATTTGAATTATCAGTTATAAAATGAAACAAAATTCTTGTAACTTAATGGATTTCTAATAATTGCAAAAAGGCAATTTCTATCGAATTTTATATAGCTGTTTCTATTTGTCCTGACATTTACTGTAGATGTCGGTGCATACCAGGGGTTAATTCTTCTGGTCTTTGTCCCTAGTTTCCAATCTTAAATGTAGATGAAATAAGTCATATATTCAAGTTTTATTATTGTTATATGCGACATGAGTTGCCTGATATTTAAAACTGTAGAATTAATGCAGATTTAGGGATTTTGTTGAGACGCACACTTAATTACTTGTCCAGTCCTAGTTAAGGTCATGCATACGTTTTTTACACCACGAGAAGTTCTTAGACGTACAACAGATCAGCATATTTTACCGGAGATACTAATAGATGTTAACAAATTTAACAGTGTTTTAAATGAAAAATTACAGTAATAAAATTAACTTGTTTTATACAATTTGATTTTGAGAAGGTGAACTTCATAGCCAATTATTATAATAAATTCGCACAAAGACCCTTTATCGTTATTGGCATTCTTATATACAAGGAATAAGAAAATTTAGCTTAACTGCTTTGCGTATGTTTTTAATAAAGATTATGTGCGTTGATGTGTCCTTTAGTAACAAGACCTCTCCAGAACATAAAGAAATCTAATCCGCTATTTCAGATTTCCAATTATAAGTCTAGTTGAGGAATTTCTTTCCACATCAATCACTCAATTTGGGAGAGATCTATACAATTTCTTGTCGCTCTAAGTGGATAAAAAAATCAATCTCATTAATTGGACATTTATTTGATTTTTTTTTGGGGTGGGGGATGAAAAAATTTCTTTAAACACATGATACTGTGGTGACCTGATTGTGAATAAGTAGTAGATTGTTCTTGAATAGTCTGATCACTAGACTTTATAAATTGACATTGATGTTAACAAGATTTGTCATAAATAAGCACTGATCAGCCGATGGGAACCCATTACATGTACAGTAAGAAAGCATTATGCTTTTATTACGAACTTCATCACATACATCATGTTTATCTCCCCTAAGCAAATTAAGTCAGGCGTGTTTTTCTATTGAGATATGTCCACCGTCCATCTGCACTTTTTCCCTATCTACCTTTAATGAAGCAAAATGTAAGCAAATAAAATACAACCAAAGCATCCGTCATATGTGATCTCTGTCTTTGTTGGCTTATCACAGTTGATCGGGAGGTCTATAAGCAAGTGCTGGCGTCCAAATACGAGTAAAACACTGTTACTAGAGTGACTTTAAACAAACAATTAAACCAATCTATACCCCCCTTCTCCTTGGATAATACACATGTAGTTTAACGCCTCTAACGTAATTTCATTCCCCTATAGAAGGAGAGCAATAAATAAACTTAAAAATGGAAAAGCGGCAGGGCCTGATGAGATACCAACAAAAGCCATCAAAGCTGATATACAGAGACAACCATTAATATCTTATATATATAGCCTCTTCAACAAGATCTGGGAAGAAGAGAACATCCCAGAAGAGTGGAAAGAAGGTATCCTTATTAAGCTGCCAAAGAAAGGTGACCTGAGGGAATGCAGTAATTACAAGGGGATCATGCTCCTGTCAGTGCCTGGCAAGGTCCTCAACAGAATACTTCTCGAGAGAATGAAAGAAGCAGTGGACCCAAAGCTCCGGGACCAACAGGCTGGTTTTAGATCCAACAGATCATGTGCTGACCAGATAGCCAGTCTGCGCATCATTATAGAACAATCACTGGAGTGGAAGTCACCCCTGTATGTCAACTTCATCGACTATGAGAAAGCATTCGACAGCGTGGACCGAGTGATATTGTGGAAGATACTGAGGCACTATGGAGCACCAGAAAAGCTAGTCTCCCTGAATAGAAACACCTACCAAGGCATGATATGCAGTGTTGCCCATGCTGGCCAGATGTCTGATAGTTTCGAGGTCAAGACGGGAGTTCGACAAGGATGCTTGCTGTCACCATTTCTTTTTCTCTTGGTCATTGATTGGATCATGAGGACTACCACATCAGGCAGGAACAATGGTATACAGTGGACACTCCTGACGCAACTTGACGATCTTGATTTTGCAGATGACCTAGCTCTCCTTTCGCACAACCAAAGCCAGATGCAGGATAAAACAACTCGCCTTGCAACAACATCGGCAGGAACGGGCTCAAAATTAACCTGAAGAAAACAGAATTGATGAAGATAAACACCACTGTCCAAACACGAGTCACAGTTGGTGGTGAGCCCATCAAAGAAGTTGAGTCCTTCATCTACCTTGGGAGTGTGGTGGATAGACAGGGTGGCACAGACCGAGAATTGGCAAGGCAAGAACTGCATTTACCATGTTAAAGAACATCTGGGCCTCAGAGAACATCCGAATTACCACTAAACTGCGGATCCTCAACTCAAATGTAAAGTCCGTCCTATTGTGCGGTGAAGAGACATGGAGGATGACTAAAGCTACCCTGCAAAAGATCCAGACATTTTATAACACCTGTCTCAGGCGCATATTCAACATCCGATGGCCTGAAAGGATATCAAATGAAGAATTATGGAAAAGAGCAGGACAGGAACTAATGGAGATACAAATAAGACAGAGGAAGTGGGGCTGGATTGGACATACATTAAAGAAGTCACCATCCAGCATCACACGTCAGGCCCTAACTTGGAACCCACAGGGCAAAAGAAAAAGAGGACGTCCTAGAAACTCCTGGAGGCGGGACTCGGAGTCGGAGCTAAAGACGCAGGATATGACCTGGCATGATGCAGCTAGAGCAGCTCAGAATCGTGTCCGTTGGAGGACTGTTGTTGATGGACTATGTTCCTCACGGAACGAAAGGCCTAAGTAAGTAAGTAAGTACTTGCTGGTGGAGGGTTGAAAATTTAATTTTGTTTTAAATTCGGTACTTACGACTTTTGAGTAAAGTAAAATCTTTGACTTGAAAACATGACCCTGCTGCGACACGGAATTTAGAATTATCTGTCTTTTCTGAAGGGTCGGTCTCCACGTAAGGATCGACTCCTTACTCCTCAAGCGAACGCTGATCATGTAACCATTGCCAAATTGAGTTTGAATTATGACAAATTCACAAGACCAGAAAGAAAGATATTGTCTATTCAAATTAATGAAACGTGTTCAGTTCTTAAACATTACAAGACAAGTACTTAGCTACTTTTACTTTCTGTTTTTCTGAATTTGCATATAAATGTGCGACATTCAGACTTGTGAAATGTTTTTTCTTTTTTTAAGCACGAAAGTAAAACACAGTTCGACAAAGGAAAATTTGTTAACAGCTATCTAGCTTCTCAGAACTTCTTCAGGGTTCACATTCGGTAAGTTTTGACCTTGCATTAATCAAGGCCTTGTTTAAGGTTCAAGAGGCTTTATTGTTTTGCGAACGAATATTTTCTCAAAATTAAGTTATCGAGACTCCTCATTTAAATAGGTTTGCAATGCAATGTAAAATAAGTAGCGTTATTTTTGTTACGGACCACTGTATTTGATTGTTTATTTTTGATTTTTGTGAGGCTCAAGGGAATTTCTTCCATAAATTTGTTGACCAATTCACAAAAAACAGGTTTTCTATACCGTGGGGCACTTTTAAGTTGTATTTGCATATGAACACCGCTAATACATCATTCACTGGAATTTAAAATCAACCAAAAATCTATTACTATTTAGCTTACTGTTGTTTGATACACTTTGCCAATGTATAATTTCTATGTTAACACTTTTTTATAGATAACTTGGCATTGATTCATTGTAACACTCTCTTAAAGTATTGCAAAGCTCACCCAAAAAAAAAAAAAAAAAAGCAAAACTTTTCACGCGTTTGTATTCCTATAGTCGAAAGCTTCAGTAATTACGCACATACACCACTTTCTGTTTTGTTGCAAATAATTTCTTTACAATAGCTTCAGGATTCCTCAAATACATCACTTTCTATTTGATACAGATATTTTAATTTTGAAGAAAAATATGTTACAGCGTCTCTTATTTGCATAGATATTAATGTTAAATTGAATGAGTTCAATATTCAAACGGTTCAAAAATTGTTCTAGGATTATGATGCTCTCTAATGTAAAAAAAAAAAAAAGTGAAGATCGCAAACAGGTTTAATAAAAGAAATCTGGAAACATAGCAAATCTGTTAAAAGGCCATTAAACGCGGACCCCCCCCCCCCCCCCCCGACATTTACGAGGTGGGATCAAATGCCAAAGAGGAGTAATTGTCCCTTGTCGACCGAACTCGGCCGTCGTGATCCTACACATCGAAACGGGCAAACGTCCTTTTATACTGCTTTTAGAGACAGATGAAATAACATTACTTTATACATTATTTCCCTTCTACTAATGTAGTGATACGTATGATGTGTAAAAGGATTTTAACAGACAAAATGCACTAAAAATACAAGATATATTACAACTTATAAGGATGGAGAGATTTGTTAAATAAAATTTGTAGTAAATAATTGTATTTTACTATGATTTTTAATATGTGTGTTATTATATACATGTAATATTGTTATTGATCTTTAAAAAAAAAATTTAAATATTTAATTTTAACACAAATAATTTCAAGATTCATTTCCCTCCATTATCATAATTTTAAAATTAGTTAAAAAAAAAAAGCATTTTGGCAAGTTAACAAAACCTATTATCACTTCCGACATGCTTTTCCGATTCACAGATTTATTTTTTTTTTTGTAATAAGGAGTTAACAATCATTGAAGGCAATACAATAAATAAATCAATGTGTGTGACAAATTAAAAAAAATAGACATACCTTAATGTTTCTAGTGAGAGTAAAAGATCCGAATTTTCAAGTCCCTTCAACACACATTTTAAAGCGCTTGCAAATACCCGAGAGCTGATATCCTCCCTGCTCAGATCGAAATCGGCATTAAGAATGATTGTGTATGTTCTGTCACTTTTTGAGTAACACCACACAGGCTATTGATCACATATATGATTAATGCTAGGGTCGTCTTAAAGGGATCCGCTATTATAGGTAGTATCCCTGTTTCTACACTGCAGTGTGGCATCTCTAGTGGCTTATTGTAGCCACTCATACACGAAAATATAAAGAAAACAATGATCACATGAATTTTTCGCCAAATCGTAACTGCTAGTTAAAATGTTTATCGATACTTTTTCTACGCTGATTTTCGTCCGTCTAAATTCATCAGCTCAGCATTTCGTAAACTCTGTAGTCAATTTGTCCTATTTTGGCTGACGTGTTTCATAAATATACTAATTGTTAGGCCTTAATTGTTTTAATACCATACTAGCTGAAATTTCGCGCAAGCGCGGGGGAAATTCATTTTTAAAATTTTTTTTACTGCTTACAGAAGGTTTCCTAAAACTATCTTTCAGATTCTACCGACAGTTTATTATAGCATAACGAAATACTTCAAAGTCCTGTAGTTAGTTTAGGAACAGAATGGATAATTTTAAGAAATACAGTCCCTTATATTTTGTTGTTTTTTTTTTACTTCTACAAATATCAATTTCATTAAAGGTCTATTCTTCTTACATGTTACAAATTTTAATTTTGCAACTTTAGTCTGTTGTACTATGTTATACATCATGTACTATGGGTGCTAATTGACATTTTCTCTTGTTGGAAACTTTATTTTAATATATGTGAATTATATTATTGCCTATTATACTTCGGGTGATCTGTTTCCATTTACATCAAGGATAAGATAATAAGCGTGCACATTTAACTATCAGCATCTTAAAATATTGAAAAAAAGCTTAGTTTTCAACCCAAATGTACATACAGACCTAAAAGGTATAAATCAGTTTTAAAAATGAAAGACTGTCTGTAAGAAACCCATTGCTATGTATTTTTAAAAGCATTTAAGTAAAATATTTTAAAATCAAATTGTACCATTTTATATGGCTAAACAAATAACAATGGTCATCAATCGACATTTATTTATAAAACATTAGCACAACTTAATAAGATATATTCACAAACTCATTGTGTTACCAATTGCTTTACATGTACATTTGATTTCCATGCCCATTCCATTTATGATAAATAATCGCCTCGATTTTCTTTTTGATATCGGACACCCGACTTTCTAGAACTTTCAACAAAGAGTGAAATCGGACATGAACGGAAAGAATGTTCACATTTTGTTTTTTAATCAATGACCAGAGTTTATTTCGTTTATATCACTTGAATGTGTTCGTGACACTATGCGCCCGGCGGCAACAATTTTTTTCAAAAAAGCTATTTTTAGCTTATATGTCACAGTCAAAGTCACAAGGCCATTGACCTTGGTGTCGTTTGAAAGAACTTGATTAATAAAGTACAGCATGGATACCAAATATGAAGTCTCTATCTCCTGTGGTTCAAAAGTTATGGCAAATGTACGAAAAAAATATTTTTAGCATACAGGTCACAGTCAAGGTCACAAGGTCATTGACCTTGGTGTCATTTGAAAGAGCTTAATTAGTGGTGTATGCATACTAAATATGAAGTCTCTATCTTTCATGGTTCAAAAGTTATGGCGAAGTTTAACGTTTGCCGATAAAAAGCTATTTTTATATAGGTCACAGTCAAGGTCACAAGGCCATTGATCTTGGTGTCATAGATCTGAAAGAACTTAATTAGTGGAGTATGCATACCAAATACGAAGTCTCTCTATCTTTCATGGTTCAAAAGTTATGGCGAAGGTTAAAGTTTGCAGACAAACAAACAAACAGACAGACAGGACATAAACAATATACGCCCCGGATCTATCAATTCGGGCGCATAATAACTGCTTGCTTGTCGTAAATTTTATTATAAAATGCCAGTAACTTTGATCCGCAAACCGGAACCACCACTTGACTTTCATTTATGCTATTTCGCGGCTGTTAACCGTAAAATGAAAGTAGAATTTAATTAAATTTACGAAAATTACTATGCGAGTGAAATCTGAATAAAGTTTACGTACATCACCTTATACCTAATGTATTCCTACAGGCTTAAGTAAGAGCTTAAGTACCCCCCCCCTCCCTTGGCACCAGGTCGCACGTCTAGAATTTCCAGGGGATTTGTGTTTTTCCCCGTTCGCAAATTTGTATTCCAAGACCAAGATCAGTAACGTTTGTTTTATTCATCTTTCATTTTCTTTCAATCAAATCAGGTATTTTCGTTAAGTCCTTTTCATGAATGTCATATATATGATAATTATACACTGTGATATTCATTTAATTAAATCTACAAACATGAGGGAGAAGGATGAAGACCGCAAACACAATGGAATCTCCAAGATTTTATGAGTTGTCTTTTTTCTTCCTTCAATTCATGGAGGATTTTAGTTTATATACGTAGAAATATTGTTTTGAAATTAATTATTCCCTCCAGACCAATCTGGTGCATGTGGTATTCCTAAATAATTGCTTTCCCGTTTCCTGGCAGGGGAATTCTGGTATTTAATAATTCTCGTTATCCCCTGAGAAACACGACTTAGCCGTAAATATTATTAAGATAATTGTTCAATTACGTTTAATCAGATTCGAAGTCGGTATCATTCTTGATGTATAGATCTAAGGGACGGAAAGATGACCACTTCAAATAAGTGGAAGGAGTAAGCTCTGAGAATATTGATTTTTATTAGCTATTGATAAACAGTACATGTATGTATTTTTATTTAATTACATGTACAGTAACTGTTTTCAATAAGAGATATTATGAAACATTCACTTATGACTCCTTCAAACCCCCCCCCCCCCCCATTAATTAGAATTAATTTTATTTCAGTATAGTAAGTGCAACCTCTGCGAAGAAAATGAACGGAAGCTGAAAATAATTGGAATTTTTCTACGTACAAGGGGAATAACTGTTAAGAATTGATCGCTTGTACCCAAAACAGAACTTGACCTATTCATTGATAAATCTGTTCATAACAAATTTCATTTCGGTAGGTGCAACTTTTGCGAAGAAAATGAACGGAAACTTTGTGGACCGACAGAAAGACCGCAGACCGACAACAGCAATGCCCCCCCCCCCCCCCCCCCGAAGGTGGGCATTATAAATACTTACCTTGTCATTTGCATAATTATTTTGTTGAAAAAACTGATTGTACACAAAGTCTTCCAACAATCTATATTGAAATTCCTGTGGGTATCAATTGTGTCCCGTTATAAGCAGACCTTTTTATATATTCATATGAAGCAGATCGAATTTATTCAAAGCTTATACGTGAAAAGAAGAAAACACTTGTTGTGACCATCAAATAGATATTTTTAGTCGACGACGCATTGTCGATTAACAATGAATATTTCCATTTGTATGTTGATACGATATATCCCGTTGAGCTTGAAATAAAAGATATCACAGAGTCTGACACATCTGTTTTATATTTGAATATTTGACCAAAAATGGTTACATAACAACTACAATGATTTATGATAAACGAGATGACTTCAACTTTTCAATCGTCAACTTCCCTTATTTATACCTTACAATATACTTTCATCACCTGCATACGGCTTTTACATCTCTCAGTTGATTCTATTCGCAAGAGCATTCTTTACGTATGAATGATTCCTAAATCGAGGTAAGGCACCAACAAACAAGTTGATGAGACAAGAATATCAGAAAGTTCGTTTAAAGTCCGTACTTAATTTCGTAAGTTCTATGGTTGATAAAATGACCTTGTCAGCAAATGCAATAATTAAGTTAAATGCCGACTGGTGTTTTCATACTAATACGCGAGTTTCGAGATTGTATCTCTCCTACGATGGAGGCGCAAAAAATATCCATTTCAGGATGGAGGTGGGACACGTTGTTTCTGTATACAATCCTGTATAAATAAATGAACAATATTTATGGCTTTTAACATTTATTAAATGTTATAGAAAGATAATAATGTTAAGCAGTGATGCATTTGATGATTTTTTAAAGCTCAACTTTGCATATTTACAAATCTACTTTCAATTATAGGGTACTTGAAAACGAAAGAAACGTCGAAGTCTTTATGAAAAGTAACCGATTTTCTTGATTGTACAAACATTTTATAAAAGGTTTATTGAAGTTATAATAAGGAAAAGAATCAATGTGCCATTTAGACTGCCGACGTGTAATGATCAAATGCATGTGTACCGTATTCATTGGAGGTCCATGTATCTCTTCCCTCGTCTGAAAAGTCTCACATCCACAGATATTTTCTTTTTAGCTACGATTTTTTTGCTTCAAAAATGACGCCTTTACATTGATTTGGTTATTCGCAAGTTGTAAAGTGCATCCTGAAAAACATGTAGTTATTATAAACAAGTACATCGATGTTGTAATGTATCCAATACATAAATATCTGTCCCACCTGTCTGTTTACGCGGCAACGAAACCCCCCTCCTCTACGAAAGAGCGCACCAAGGGAGATAATCTCGAAACTTCCGTATTGATAGGCTATTTTTAACACCCTGAACTTACAACGGATTTTTGCTTTATCTCCCAATCATGGCAAGGAGCACACGGCGGATGTGACTTGTCAGCTTGAATATTGTTCGTTATCTCCATACATTTCATCGATCACTGTTCGTTCTCTTTTTCATTTGCAAACAACGTCATTGTATTGACCATATCAATTATCAGATGTTTACTTTTTAAGTTTCAAAAATCGTTGATATCCTTTTATTGTCAACTAAATTGTCAAAGTCCTGCATCGTCCTAGAAATTATTCACATGTGTATCAACAAATAATGAAGTAACATGATTATATTCAATAATCATATGATAGTTGGATCTTTGTGCATAGATAAAGCAAGTTAACGAGATAAAATGCTATAAGTAGATCATTGTGTAGTGAAATTCCTTTGATCGAGTTAATAATTATAAAATCAGGGTTTAAATTAGTCTTAGCAATCAAAAGTTATCTCTTATGTCCAGTCAATGTTTCAAACATTCAGAAGAGGAAGATCTGACTCAGCAGATCTTGGAAAAGTATATAAGCGGGCTCATTCAAGTCCCGGGGTTCAGTTATTGAGAAGCCGTAGAAGAAGAAGGACGTATTACGGACA